GGCGTGCTTTTGGGTCAAGACATCACTTCCTTGTCACAGAGAAGGCAACGTGATAATGACTATTCAGCTGTATGAGACCTTTCTATAGCTCTGTGGTGTCCAGGACCCTAGCCACTAACCACGTGGCTGGTTGAATGTGGCTGGTTGGCTATAGCAGTAGCCAACATCAGAACTGATTGGACACCATGGATACAGATTATCCTTAAACTAGGTTCAAATGGTTTGTTATGTACCTTACTGAAGGGAAAAGGTGCAACACCACCTTATCCAATTTACTGTACTTCTGCTTGTTGTTTGTATCTACTAGTTTGCAGCTGATTATTAATCCACCCCATGCATGTGTGTTAAAAAAAAAAAAATGCTGTGCAAATGGGGCTGTATTTGGAACCAGCAAGGTCATTGAAGAACAGCTGTGTCCTTCTCAAGCAGTGCATGCTGGGAGAGGCAGCGCATGCATTCTTCTGGGGTAGGCAAGCTAGAGAAGATCCAGACACATCATGTTGTGACATCTCCCATGAACTGGCTGGGGCCTGTGCTCTGATCCAGAGAAAAGCCACGTTCCTGAATTTTGGAAGTCACAGTGAACAAACAGGCTAATTTTATCTGGGATTTGGCAAGCGAGAGCTACATCAGGGGTGCCGAGTGTAAGCGAGGTTACCCAGCAAAGGGGTTAACATTGTTACAGGTGAAAAGAAGAAAAATATTCACTAGCAGATGTTCGGTTGCACATCTCTTTTATTTTTAGGGATTGGTTCAGTGTCTGTCTCCTGATGAGTTGCGCTCTCTCTCATTTCCTCTCACTTTATGCTGCTGATTTATGTAAAGGTATGTCAGCACAGGCTGAAATGAAGTACTGTGCCTCTTCTTTCTGCTTATTGCTGACCGTTCCAATCAGTCATTTTTTAGCTCATTAGCTAACGGGGGAGGTGAACAGTGGTCCTCCGGGGGATTGGAACGAGGTTAAGTGATCTACTGCTGACAGCTCTGCTCTTGGACTGGCCTTCCTTTGGGGGAATATAAGCTCAACCAAGACAAGCTGTGGATCCCAGAAATGAAATTGTGACATCAGAGAAACAGTGACAGTGTTTCTGTCTTAGTGTCATAGTTCCTTGGGTGAGCAGAGAGAGTGGAGCCAAAATACTCTGACCGGAAAATCCTGACAACTTGTAAACGTAAATCCCTTGCATCAGATTGGGGGAAATACAGCAGGAGAGTCTGTTTGGGAAACTTATTTTTAAAGCTGTCTGGATTTTCACTCGGATGAGTGAGAATTCTGAAGTTTGAACAGACCAACCCAAGGGAGCTCGGAGACACGCTGCCAGCTCCAGACTCTTCATGATCAGCTCAGAGAGCGTTTCCCATGGGAATTCCCAAATGGAATGTCTCACTTGTGCCCCATTTTCAACATTGATTCTCATTTGCCATCCGAAATGAGCTGCCCCAAGGTTCCCTAAGCATTTAAAGCCTTTTTGTGTGTGTTGTGTTGATGGTTCTTCCCTGGCTTCTCCTAGAACCTGCAAGCGGAATTCCAGGCCAGTCATTAACATGTGGTATTTAGGTGAACGTTTCCATGTTATTCATTAGGCATATACTTCAATAGCTGTTGTCTGTCTAGATGGATAATAGACTGACGTTCGCTAGCCGGTCTATTCCCCAATAACTGTGGTGTCTGAAAGCGTTTTTGAATAGTCTGGAGAGCTAGAAATAGTTATTGATCTTGAAGTACCTTCTATTCAAGTGCTTTACAAAAAGTAAGAAAGATCCTGCCTTGCTTATACATACTGAATTGTAGCTTACTCTACACATAGTCCCACTGATTTGTGAGTAAAGGTGGCAGAATCTGGCCCTGATTAATTAAGGCTCAATATGTCGGAGGTATGTGAGTATTATGCCCATTTTACACATGAGATTGAACTGAAGTAAATTAAGTAACCTGCTTAAGGTCACAGAGCAAGCTAATGACACAACACAGGGGCAGAGTCTAGTACAGAATTCTGACTCTTGCAAGTAAAGTAAACTGTACTATTTCCTGAATCACTTGGATTGCCAGTAACTCCCGCCTTTTCCCTGATCTGCAGCAGCTGTACTATGGTTGTACAGCATTCTGATCCCAGCATTCAGAGAGAGAGACAGTGGTTTGAATGACCAGGGTATGTAGCAGTAGAAATCTTTGAGGGACTGGTGGCCACAGACAGCCCTATTAATGGATCACCCATAATTACTAGTTTGTGGTCTGCCCTTCCTTACCCTTTTCAAGACAGGGCTGATGATGGGGTCCTAGTCTAGAGCTTCATGGTTCACTCCTGGTTCCCTCAGCCTGCCTAAAAATGACAAGATCTCTTTGTCTGGTAAGCCTTTGCATCACTCTCACATGGTTTTTTCCCCTCTTGTGTAAGATACACATTTTTAGAAGAGTTGATGTAAATGCTCTGGAGGAAAAATAAACTTGCATAGTGTAAACATAAAATATATTCTCATGAATTTGTAAAAGTTTGGCAACCTAAGGGTCTGAAAAGTTCCAGCTGATCCTGGCACTTTTAGTTGCTGCTTCTACACACACACACTGAGGCATCAGCTCTCAGGGCTCTAACTCAAGTGATACTCATCTTTACTAACAGAAATCTCTTTTGCCTGGCTTGTGAGTAGAATAGAACATTTGTGTAAAACAGCTTGTTTCCCTGAACAGCGAGCAATTTTTGCTCAAGTCCTAGTTCCCTCCGCTGATGCCACGGCTGGGGTTGGACCCGTGTCCACCTATTGTTGGAAGTTGCTGTTGCTGATGGTCACCGGTGCCCTTTCACAGCTTACATTTAAGATTTTCAAGTTTTGTTGTGGAGCAGATGGGTAGAAGCATTTTTTGAAAAGTTTTGTTCCCCTCTTCCGCCTTTTGGAGGTAGGATTCCAAGAGAGAAATTGGCTGTCCCTGGACGTCAGCAGTGGTCCCACAATCATGCTGTTAATTGCACTTCACTGGGGATTCCTGCCCATTTCATAGGGGTTAATTATATATTTATAAAATACTCTGCACATTATTTTTAACAAACATGAAATTTTTAACTTAAATGAGGCTTACTTAGGCACTTCACCTGCTAACTCCATTAGCATGGAGATGTACAAGACAGGTATACGTAAAAGTTTTACAAGCATCTGTGATTATTATGTATGGGTACATCTACACAGCAGTGTTATTTCGGAATAACTGACGTAGTTCACATCTACACTACAAGCAGTTATTTCAACATGATGTTGAAATGACGACGAGCTGGAGGACTTCTTACTCGGACTTCTGTAACCCTCATGTTACGAGTAAGGGAAGTCGGACCAAGATGGATGTCCTGCTGTGTAGACTGTGCCAAAAGCCAAAATAACCAATCCAACTTAATCTATGCAATTGGCATAGCTGAAGTTGTGTAGCTTAGTTCGGCTTTAGGACACGTCTACACAGCAGGGCTAAGAGTGCATAAAATGGAAAAAAGCATCACATGAAAACACCACAAAATTCATGACATTTTAGGTGGCTGGAGCTATACTATTGTCACTTGGAAGGGTTGATTTTATTTGTATAGCACAGCACAGATAAGTGGAGTAATAAGCTTCCCGGCAACATTTGTTTGTGTCCCAACTTCAACATTCTTCAGAGTGTTTTCCTCAAATTTGAATATTTTAAAATTGTACTTTGAAGCATCCGCACCTAGGATGGTTTCAGTGTTATCCAGAGTATGGTGGCCATTCGAAGGTTTGTCCAAGCTTAATTTTTTGAATAAATTGAAAACTTTTAATTTTCTTTATGGGGAAAAATGACTGCCTAGTTATAGGTCAAATTGACAATTGTGCATGTTTTGGAGAGCTTTGCATGAAAGCATCCAGAGGGGTCAACGGAAGGTCACTCCACATGTACCAGGAAGTGATGCAAAACTAATCCAGATTTACTGTTAGAACTGCCTGTTTACATAAGTATTTAAAAACAGATTAAGGCTAACCTGACACAAGATTACTGGCAGTAGCGTAAACACTGCTGAAAGGTGTAAACAGAGCTTTTCTTTCTGTATCTGAGAGGGGGAAAAAGTCACCAATAAGGAGTTCTCTTTCCAGGTGCTGTATGTGGTTGTCACAGGATAGACAGATTACTATGTAGATACCTGAAGTATTGGGCAGCGGGAACTTATAAATACTAAGTTTCCTAGTGACCAACCAGGTCCCTCAATGCACATTAGTGGGTTTTGAAATGGTTAATAGAAATTGGAGCATCACTTGTAAAATGGGGTATTATCCCACCATATAACTGCATGTAGGCAGCTTTTGATACTCAATTTGGTGAGAGGAAATGCTTCAAAAGTACTGAGCTTTCCTTTAAAAAAAAACTGCCAATCCTCTGTCCGATGGAGAAACAAAGTGGGGCGATGCTGTTCAGTGGCTGAATGAAAAAAACACCCTACAAGCTAGACAGTCCTTTGGGTTAATTTTTCTTTTAGATGCAAGTCAGTTTATTCGTGACGGTGACTTTTGGGGAAAATAACGCTGCCACTGGATATGCCTAGGTCCAGTGCAAGCAAATTATGCGCACCCTACTCCTGTCTAGCTTTACCAGTCCTGGTCTGGAGCCCCATTCTTCAGCTCCAGTTTTTGGCCTCTTGAGTAGAGTTGGTAGGTTTCACTGACATATGCCAACCTGCATGGTACCAGATTTGTTCCACAAGGAGCCTGTCTTTCTAGAGGTGAAGAACTAGTATGTGAATTGGGTATGTAATGTAGCTTTCTGGCCAGGTACAACCAGGTGAGACATGTGGGAGGCATGCATTGTATCACATGTATAAGGTGCAAAGGAAATATTTGAGAGAAGCTTGTCTACTAACCTTTACAAGAAAAAAACGTGTTTTTTGCTAATTAACCCCTCCACCTGGCTGTGGTTTTTGCATCCTTTCTCTCCAAAGGTGAACATAGAGCATCACACAAAGGCAGTGGGACCAGGTTTTGAATGGTGTGTGTTTTTTATTCTCTAGGGAAGAAAAAGAGCGCTGGATACGTGCCAAGTATGAACAAAAGCTCTTCCTTGCCCCGCTGCAGTGGCTAGAAGTGTCTTTGGGCCAGCATCTGCTACGAGCTACAGCCGAGGAGGACTTGCGAACCGTTATCCTGCTCCTGGCCCACGGCACGCGGGAAGAAGTGAATGAGACCTGCGGCGATGGGGATGGGCGTACAGCCCTTCACTTGGCATGTAGGAAGGGAAATGTTGTGTTAGTTCAGCTCTTAATTTGGGTGAGTAACCTGCCTTGTGGTGTTGGGTGTGAGGGCAGAGGCATTGGCAGATGTTATTTCAGTGTGGCCTTTCAAAAGATTGCTCTGAGCATACTCCAGTGGGGTGCTCAAGGTATTTCCCTTTTTTCCCCTTAGTCTCAATGGTCATAGTCCTGGCTTGCAATGATGGCAGTTGGCCCTGCTTGGAGAACTCTTGCAAGATGGGTCTTTCTTCACCCTGTTTAAATGTAGGAAGTCAAGTGAGGCCTGGGAGATGGGGGAAGAGGGAGATAGGTGCGTGTAGTGTGGAAAATTAAGATGAAATGCAGAGGTGAGAGAGTGTGTGTGTGACAGGCAGCAGAGGAGGGACTGGCAGGGGAAAGCTGGATGTGTAGGATGCATATTTGTCACATTCATATTTACAAACTGCTCTCTCTATCCATACAGGGTCCCCCAGCCTTTAAACTCAGCCCTAACTAGGCTGTTTTCGTTCCCTCCGTTCCTACGCTGAGTTAGCAGCAGGGTTTCAAATGGCATCTGTTTTTTCCACAGTATGGTGTGGACGTGATGGCCCGCGATGCCCAGGGGAACACGGCACTAGCCTACGCCAGGCAGGCCACGAGCCAGGAATGCATCGATGTTCTGCTGCAATATGGCTGCCCCGATGAACGCTTTGTCCTGATGGCTACTCCCAATTTGTCCCGGAAGAACAACAACAGGAACAACAGCAGTGGAAGAATGCCTACCATCATCTGAGGAACTCTCTCCTTTAGTCACTGACCTGAGTACCGGCCGCCTGCCACCACCTAGTGCTCCATTTTCTTCACAGCCCTGACCTGTGAGTCTGATACCTCCCTGTCTCCTTTTTCCCCTCAGTCTCTGTCCTCTCCAGAAAAATCACCTTTGGACCGTGTGAGGGGGCGAGGAGGAGGAAAGGGGACCACAGAACATACTTATTCTAAGACAAGGTCTTGAAAAAGGGAGGGAGTGAGATTCGGGAGGTCTCTAATTATAGCACATGACACGGGACCATTTTACGGGTTGTCTTTAGACAAAGGCTCCACAAGTGTTGAAACGGGGGCCTGTAGGGAGAAGAAAGGAGGAAGAGGAGAAGAAAGAAGAAACGGTAACTTTCCTTAACCGACAGTTAAGCACATCAGTACATTTCACCTTTACCACACGGAACACTTGGATTTCATTCTCTTCTCCGAAGAGCTTGACGGCATAAATCAGAAGCAAGCACAGAGTTTGTCAGGTTTGAAGCTCCTATGATGGTATGTGTCAAATCAGTTGTAGCTAATCTGTCCAGGGAGAATACTGGCTTCATTACACTTGTATAGTTGAGTTCTTCCAGCATTACCGCTGTTTAATAGAACATGATTAGTCATCATGGAGAAAAAAGCATATTAGCTGAGGAGGTAGTTACATGGCACGCTTCGGTGATTGCTTGGATGTGATTGCAATATTCTTAGAAGCATCATATTATCTCAGACATGTTCTTTCAAGCCCTTGGAGCCCTCCTTTCTAAATTCACTGTCATAATTTAGTATCTGTTTAATTTTTCAGTCCAAAGAGAGGAAATCAGTTGCTGAGTGTTATTTGACTGCAGTCTCCTTGGTGTAAAAACAAAATGGAAAAAATAAATAAGAATAACTATGAAACACAAAGAAATAGCGAATACTGCTAAGGAAAAACATTTCAAGTACATTTAGTAAAATAAATGCATTAAAAGCTACTTTTTTTTTCCAGTCACAAGAAATGTGTCATTTTGCCAAGTAAATGTGTTGAGATTTTGGTCACTCCTGTGATGCATTGCCTAAATTATACAGATTTTGTATTGTGTCTTTAGATTATATGTATGTAAAATCTATTTGAATAAACAAGTTCATAAATATGCATTGATTTTTGTACAGACAAATGACACCTCTGTTAATTTATAAACCGTAATGGATAGGAGCTAAATAATGTGCAAGTAGTTAGGATCTGAGGTTTACAGATAATTGCACATTGAAAATGTTCTCGGCAGTGAACTGTGTTTCCATTTGTCTGATGCAAACCTTCAGAAGAACGTATCGGAATGAGCTGATGGCATATTTGGCATACAAAAAAAGGTGCACAGGAGGAAGTCTCAGTGGCATAAACATATTTTGCATTAGACACTATGATGCTTTCATAGACCAAAACACAGCCTGGAGGCAGGAGGGGAAATCAGATCTGTCTAATAGCTAAGTTAACATTGGTCTCTGTGGTGACCATGATCCGGCTCCTTTGACTCCAAACTTGCTGCTTTGTGGAGCAACAATGATCTGTGGAAGGAGTTTGGGCCGTTCATTCATCTACCAGTTTCAATACTTGATTTGATATTTTTGTAGCATGCTGGTTTCAGAAGCCATCTAAAAACTGAAATTGTGGCATGGAGAAGCAGCTGGCAAGGTTTCTGCCAAAAACAGAAGTGATTTCTAAGTGGCATATGGTAATGTGAAGGTGGGAGAAGGGTATATTTCAGAGAAAGTTGAAATCTGATCTGAATCAGGTGGCAGAAGTATATGAAGTTGGGCAGGTGCAAATCTACCTGATCCTCATGTTTTTTCATTAATTTCTGACCATCTTGGAGCTCCAATTGTCTATTCAGGTCAGAGTGAGAAAAGGAAACAATAATAAATGACGTGGACAACATTTTTTTTTTAAATTAACGTCTCACGGATGTGCAAACAATCCAAGAGCAGCAGGTTTGGCCCGAAAGCCATAGTTCACATGTGGTCAGGTGAGACACGGCCCTACAGTGCAGTCAGGTGGACAGTGATGGGTTTTCCTGGTCCTTTGTAATTCTGGGTTTATACTTTGTGGCAATCGAGCCATTCAAAGCTGAACGGAAGCAGCTTTGTGTTTGTTTCACCAGCCGCAACCGGCAGCATCGTGCGTGCAAAATGACAAAGCTGTGTGGTTTGTTTTGATTTTTAAGTAGATTGCGCAATGGTGCTTTCTTCACTTACACACTGCTGCCTGGGTATTAGATCCTGACAGGAGTCTTGCTCCAACTTCGGATGACTTCCCTTACATCTACAACTGAACGTGGAACGGCACTCTCGGCATTTTGCTTCTCGGTGTTGGTGATTTCATCAGCTAAGGCAGGGGACACATAACCAGATCTCAAGTCTCTTGCCAGGCAGGAGACACAGGAATGGAGTCTGATTTCCAGAAGATGCTAACCACCTCCCCTCCGCTTAAAATATTTTGTTTTAAAACAAATTGCCATTTTTATGCCTGTAGCACACCTTCTCTTTCACAGCTGAGATTCTTCCAAGTTTAAAATGCTTTTCCATTCACCTTTCAATGATCTCTTTAAATCAGTCTTCCTAGCATGAAATGCCAAAAGGGCACTGAGAAATAAGTGGACTCAGGCTACATGGTAACAAGTTTCTGACGTTGTAGAAGTCCATCATAGCCTTCTCTGGTAAAAGAGAACATTCAGAGGTTGTGGCAAAGGAGCCTTTAGAAAATAAAACTTTTCTACATCCTAGGAAGAATGGTTCATCCAGACCGATTACTCACATGTTCTGTTAGATAAAGCAGTAACACAAAGATGTGTTAATTGAAACAACTATCGTAGACACATTAGTAAGGAATGGTAATAGAAGTGTGGACCAGTGCTTTTGTAGAATACGAGCTAGCTTACCTCTGTCTAGTTGCACAGCCCAAAAATCAAAGGATGTCTGCACGGAAATATACAACCCATCCACTTGGTGGCATTCTCTTTGAATGACTGGGAAGAGACAACGTAACATACACTAGATGTGGTTTAGGCCCTGACAGCCCTATGTTTTTTGTACTAGCTTATATCCTACCTATCATTGTCCCTCCCCTCCCATTGTGTAAGCACAAGCATATTCGGGTACATTTGTCTCCCTCGTGTACGTGTTCAAGAAAAGTTGGTCAGAAATGTCTAGAAAGTCGTAAGACTCTACTTGGGCGTAATGGTCCATAAGTCAGGTCATACCCTGAGAGGCATTGACACACGATCAGGCCAGTATAAATACAGGCCCTGCTTTGGCTAGCTGCCTGGTACAGTAATTAATATGCACTGTACTTGAACAACAGAGATCGTCTCACCTGGTGTTCCAGTCTACTCCTAAGTTGAAAACTAAGAAAAGTCTAGTGTTGTCCTTTGTAAGAGACACCTTTTGATTTCCTTCACACACTAGAGTCCAAGGTGCCCAGCTCTGATGCTTAACAAATGTTAGGCATCTCCCAGATATCCAGCCAAGCTAGTCTGACATTGATTAGCTTAGAAGCTGGGATTTGGTGACACTAAGCACTTATAGGGACTGTGGTAGCATTTTGTAGAGGGTGGGCCTGAACCCAGCAGGACACAATCACAAAGGAATACAGTACAACTTCTGTCATTTTCTACTATGAGTCTGCTCTCTTAACCTCCCCACTTCGGGTTTTAGCCCCTCTTGATATTCTAGAACCCACTTACCAGAATGTTAGCATGCTGGGAACAACTTGAAAACCAGGCAATAAGAAATCCCAAACGAAACATGCTGGGGAGCTAAATCTGTTTGAGTTCCATGAGGTCAACCATTCAACTCTTTTCTTGCTCCACTTACCTCCCTTCCTGTCTGCTGTGCAGTTTATCTGCAAGTACTAAGACACTAAAATTAAAGCCATCTTTGCTGTTACTGTTGTCATTTCCATTCTCTTTATTTTAATTCAATTGCTGTCAAACCAGAGAGGAGCTAGACCATCCACGTTTGGGGTTCCCAGAGTTTGGCAGGCTGGGCTTCATCATGTAGACAGAGGTCAGAGCCAAACTTCTGGAGAGTTCGGTCCTTTTCAAATGAAGGGGCTTGGTCAAGGCTTCTAGCTGTTTAATAGATTTCAACTGTATTACTGACTGGGGGCAGACAAAGAAATTAAATGTATCCTGAAAGTGTTGGCATGGAGAAAGTTGAGTCCTTGGGAAAGGAAGACTTGTAGGCAGTACTACTGAGGGACAGTGTATAACAGCTGTATCAACATTCATGCTGTTTATTTGTAGGAGTGTATCTAGCACTATAATGTACCATTATTCATTGGGTCTGCATTAAGGGTCCAGTGTGTTGCTAAGTTAGTTTTTTATATTTGTAAAGCGATCAGGAAAAAAAATGAAGTAATGTGTGGGTCTAATGGAGCAGTAGCTATGATGGGCACAGATTTCACAAGCTAGTTCTGAAGTGGATTCCTTCACCACTGTCTTGGGAAGTCGTGTTTGCACCCCAAGGGGGAACAAGTGTTCATTCAAGCTGTTGCTACTTGACTTTGAGAAAGCAAATGTAGGGGACCAAATTTTGGGCAGCTAGTTCTTGCTTGGGAAAATGCTGATATTTCCCCTGTTTTATGATAAAGCACCTTTATTTTCCCACAGTGCGCTATTACTGTCATTAGTGTGTGAGCTCTCTGACCTTGGCTTCATTAGTCTCAGACCCCTGATTTATTGTAACTTACTCCATTTTTGTAGATGTATCATTTAGAAAGTTAATCTTTGGTGTTTGATCTGCGTGCTCCATTGTAAAGGCACTCCAGGGTCACAATTCTTTTAGAAGAAAGAGTAAAAGAACACTAATAAATCTCAAGTTTGAAATTGTGCTTTTAAGATCAGGGTTTACCTCCTATATATTGAGCTACAAGAAGATTGGTTGAGTTGTTTTAGTTTGAAGGGATCTCCCCACTGGAAAAGACTTGGATTACAGAGCAGCTTTGAAAAAGCCATAGGCATGTAGATTTGTAATATGACCATGTTCTGTTTATCGTGAGCCAGGTTTTTTGTTTAATCTTTAGCGCTCCCATCTCATGGACACTAATCTTTGACTGAGTCTGTCATATTTTAAGCAGAGGAGATAAGTGACAATTAGTAATGTGGGGTGTCTAAACAGAATTTCAGAGGGTTTGGTGTTTAACGCTAACTGAATATAAGGCCTTCAGACTGGACACCCAAAATCACTGGTTACCTTTTTGGAAATCATGGCTTTTCATTGTTTTATTCAGATGATGCCAGTCCACGGAGGAATTCCTTCCCTGTAGTTGTCCTCTGAGCATTTTAGGGACTTGTTTAATGGGTAGATCAAAACAAACATCTTCCAAAGTTTTAACGTGTTGGGCTTTCTTATTTATGTCAAACGCGTCTGGTGAGATTGACTGAGACTCAAAACTTCAATCTTCCCTCTCCTTTCTTGGCCACGTGTTTGTATTGAATGCCCACTGCTCCAAGTTGTAATGGCTGAGGTTTTGCTATTGCTCCAGAGGATCATTTTCAGCTTAGTGTGTATGTTGGATTATGATGTGAGGGAGAAGGTGGCAAGGGGTGTTATAAAGGTTTCATTTGTTTGAATTTGGAATGACTGTATTATTGACCAACAGTGATTACACCATCAGGGTATCTTACGAACACCACATACTTTACAGACAAACTGATCGAGGACTTACAGTTTCTACAAATATCAGTGATACAATTTTTCTTGTGTCTTTCCACCTTTAACACTAAGCTATCAAGTCTGGCTATACAGGTGGAGGACGGGGAAAACAAATACATTTTAGAAACCTCTTAAAATTAACTAAAACTTTGTATAAGTCAGAATATTGCAGCTTTAAAGTCTGAGCGCTCCTGTCCTGTCCCAGCTGTAAACAGATGCTCTGATAAGAACATTGAGTCACTCCCTGCTGCTCTCCAGTAGCATAAAAGACTTTCCTGGTCCTGATGGACCAAAAGATCTGGGACTTGAAACCCACTGTTGGTGGAGGGCTTAATATTGCCCAACCTGTGCGTAAGGCCAGTGTAATTCTCAAGATTAATTCCACCATTAGGGTGAGAGGAACGTGTGGCAAGTTCATTGTTTTGATGGTTGTTTGGCAGGCAGCTTAGTGGTTTGGAATCTGAGACCCTGTCGAGTTGGATTGCTACTGGGCAGAGTGAGAGAAATTGGCAGTTACAAGATAAAGGCGATAGATGGATACTCCTAAATGTGGCATAAAAACATTTTGCACTCTGTGTACATGTGTTAGTAAATACGTATATGCGAGAACACATGCTATATGCATTTTGCACTCTGTGTACATGTGTTAGTAAATACGTATATGCAAGAACACATGCTATATGGTGTTTATATACACACACACTGTGTGTGTACATATATTTACATATATGCAAATCTGCAGTGAATGTCAGGTTTTCAGTTAGGTTGACATAACTGTGCAGGTGCTTGCAAGCATAAAGGGCATGCACAGACCTGTGGCTCCTCAGTGAACAGCATACACTCTGTATGGACAGACAGAGGTACTTTTGGGTGCCTATTGTACAGATAGAACTCTTTGTTCGGATGACAGTGAAGAAGGCAGCTGGTTCTGAGCATGGATTCAGCTCACTCAGACAACACCGTCAAACATGAAGGTGCCCACAGTGTCTTTATTCAAAAACCCCATACACCCCCCTCGTGCCAACTCTCCCATGAGTCAAAATGGCACAGTCAGCTCGCAGGGTGTTAACTACTCTGGTCTAGGCAAAAGTTGAGCAGGACAGACGGCCTCGCCCATTTTTGAGAGGTATAAAGAGGGGGGGAAAGTGCTGAGAACTTCAGCTAACTGACTGGATTCAATTCTGACCTTCTGCAGCTGTTTAAATACATGACATTTGAAGTCTTACTGCCACTTACATCATATGGATGTAGGATAGTTGAAGAATATGCTGAGGAAGATGTTTCAAAGAACCCTACCTGCTCATGTTCGTTAGCTAACTTGTGGCAGTCTAGTAGTTCCTGAAGAGATTGTAAACGTTGAGTCTAGGGTATGGGGGGAGGGGGGGGGAGAAGAGTTCAAACAAAATTAGATGCTAGTTCATGTGCTTCACATCCTTGCTTTCAGTGATCACTACTCATGGTCATTCTGCCAATCCACAACCAAAGCCTGATTATCATGTCCTCTAAAGCACAGCCCTCTCCTCTGCGGAAATACGAGGATTCCTGAGCACAGAATGCGGGATGCAAATTGGTCCAGGCAACTTTATTTTTTTAAGCTAAAGAAAGCTTCAAGATGGCTTTTAATGGTTACACAGTGTGTATAGACGGATGCACAAAGTGAGAGGGGACGGCTTCTCTTTTTATACGCTTCTTAGGGCGTGGTGCTGTGTAGGAAAGATTTACTAGCTCTTTGTAGTTTCTCACTTTGTCTCGTCTAGGTTTAGTGTGTGCTGTGAGCCCGATCCTGCAGTCTTGACACTGGCCATGTTCCCATTGGTGCCAGTGGGAGGTAAGCAGACATTAGGTACTTTGCTGAGTAAGGGTTGCAGGGTCAGTGACAAAGGACCAAAGTCCGGACTCACTGAAGTCACGGGCAGTTTTGCATCTGAGATCAGAATTTGGCACGCCAGCCAGCCAGCATGGCTTGTGAAATCCCTTTGTTTTGGAAGACCCTTTGACCACTGGTTTGTGGTGGTTCAATTTTGTGTCTTACCCCCTGCCTGAATGCAAACCTTAGAGTTTAAAACTGTGTAGCTGTTCTGTCCCATTCAGCTGTCAGACCCTTTAGTTTCCCTGCACTGGCATGTTTCTTAAAGTGGGGTTTAGGGGAGGGAGAGGAAGGGAGCAGGTAAATGATTAGGCCTGAGAAATATTTCTTGGGTAGAGGCAAGAAATGCCTAGCACATGGCAGACTTTATAGTGCGGTTGGGGTTTTTTCCTTGTAAATAGTAATGTATAAAATGACAAAGCAGTGTGGAAATTATTAAGAAAAAAAGTCTGTTTTTTATATTACCTCATTCAGCAAGTTTGTTTTACAATGGCACGATGATGCTTTTATTTATATTGTTTGTACTGTAATTAAAATAATGGACAGACATTTCACTTGGCTTGTTATTTCATATGATCTTGTTTTGATTAAATATGCCAGTTTGTATTATGTTTCCCCTCCCCCCTTGCTCCACCTTGAGATGTGTGTCAGCTGTACAGTATTTTGAGTTTTAAAAAGAAATGTAAAGTAACAGAGAGGGACTGCCATACTGTATAGGTCTCTTTCTAATAAAGACAAGAAAACAAATCTCTCAGGGCTTTGGTTCTTTGCCTGAATCTTTAGCACGGAGGATGGGGGGAGATAACTACTCAGAACAGGGATCAGGGTTGGCACAGGTATACTCAGTCCTCCCCAGGAGGAGATGACCTCTATAAGGCCCTTCCACCCCACCCTGTTATGAATGACCTGAGATGGTTTATCACTCTTTTTTTTGGGGGGGGGGGGGAGGTGCTAACAGGGATATGAGATCTCAGAAGAGCTGGTGATGGAGCAATTTGCTAAATTAAAGACTGAAACCACCAGACTAGAGCGGGGTATGTCCATGAGTCCTGCAGGAGCTTACAAACGAAATGACTGAAAATGATACACGTTCTTTGTGACAGCCGCTCTCCCTGAAGCACGGCAAATGGCTGAAGTAGAGGTAAAAACATGTGCGCTCTCCAGCCTCTTTAACCACACTGTCAATTTAAGTGCAATGTGAGCTCTGCCTCAAACCCACATCCCCTTCTCCAAGGCCTCACTCTGCTCGCTCCAACCCCCTTCTTCCCCCACCTCACTTACTTGCACCAGGCTGGGGTAGGGAGCTGGGGTGCAGGCTCTGGTTTTGGGCCAAGAGGTTTGGAGTGTGGGAGGGGCTCCAGGCTTAGCCCAGGGTGTGGGATTGGGGATCAGGAGGGGTGTCACAGTACAGGCTCTGGGAAGGATTTTGGGGTCTGGGGCAGGAGAAGGTTCAGGGCTGGGACGGGTTCAGGAAGCAGGCTCTGGCTCAGCACCATTTAACTGAGACGGCTTCCGGGTGGAGAAGCAGTGAGATTAAGGCGGCTCATTCCTGCCCTGGTCCTGCACCACTCCTGTCAGCAGCCGGCATGTAGTGCCCCCCCCCGCCTCTATACTGGCCCTGCAGTTCAATGGAGCTGCAGGAGTGGTGCCTACAGGCAAGGGCAGCATGTGGAGACCCCCTGCTCTTCCTTTCTCAGGGGCTGCTGGGAGATGCCAGCCACATCCAGGAGCAGCAATGACCTCAGGGGTAATGACTCCACCCACAGCAGGTTCGGCATTTTAGAGCGTGAGAGAAATGAAGAGGATGAAATGCACAGACCAGTCAAAACCCAAAACTAACCCACGCTGCAAGCAGTCGAAGTAACACCTCCCCACACACACACACACACACACACACACCCACACACCCCACCACCTGTGTTGGGTTGGGAGGGGAGAGTGCAGGACAGTGTGTGACAGACAGATTTGCACTGCCAAGCTCCCTCCATCCCCTTCTCTGAGTGGAGATGAGCTACAGGGATGGGGGGAGAAGGGACCCCTGACATCAGTGCCCTTCCCCTCCCACAATCTGCACAGCAAGCAGGAGGCTCCCGGGGGGAAGCTGCAAGGCAGGGGCAGCAGGACACCGGGTGGAAGAGCAACTGAAGTGCCAGCACTTGATCGCTTCCTGACCAAACCAGTCACGATCCCCTGTCAGAGGCTCCAAGCTCTACTGGTAGATCCTGATCTCAATCGACTGGTTGGTGACCATTGCCCTCCTTTCTTTGAAAGTGATCCAGGGAGTTAGATGTTACATCTGCACTTGGCAAAGAAGAGGTCATCAAGTCCAGTCCCTTGCCCTCACGGCAGGACCAAGCACCATCTAGATCGTGACAGGTGTGTGTCTAACCTGCTCAGAAATACCTCCAGCGCTGGAGATTCCACAACCCCCCTAGGCAATTTATTCTAATGTTTCACCACTCTGACAGATAGGTTGGACATGAGGAAAAACTTCCTAAGCCTCCCTTGCTGCAATATAAGCCCCTTGCTGCTTGTCCTGTCAGAGGCCAAGGTGAATAGTCCTTCCCAACACCCTTTTAGAGACCTGAAAACCACTCTCATGTCCCCTCTGTCGTCTTTTCCAAACAAGCTGTAGCCAGACAGGAACCCCCCTGTAACATCCATCTTTGCTTGCCTGGATATGCAGGCTGCTGTGACCGTGAATGGCTGTAAACAGACATATGCCGATTGCTGACCAAGACGCTACCGAGGAGTGCCCTTGACTCAAACCCACATTGATACGAACACACAGCCATCCACAGGGGGAGGAGTCTCTCGCCCAGTAAAAAAGTCTAGTACTCACAATTTAGTTCTCTCTCTTGAAAGCGTAAATTAAGTTGAAACTTGCTTGTAAGAACTGGCACCACAAAACGGACCAGTACAATTTGGCATCTTAGATAAGAAAGAGGATACGGGCCCCTATGGTATAAAGATGGGTCCAGCAGCACACTTACTCTGAGTGTCAATCTACTGGTCGGGTTAGGTGTTTGACCTCCCGAGGTTCCATGGGGACACCCACCTCGTATTCGTCTTTCCTAGGAATTGAGGGACCGGCCCTGGCCTGACACATTGGGACTGAGAGGCACAGAAGGGGGTAAAACTTATACCTGGATGTGGTCCTTTGTCTTAAGTGTACACATAGACTTAGAGCTCTTTAAAGATTAAGCTGTCACTTGGTACCATTATTTCTATTTTCTATCTTTACCTTTTTCCTGTAACCATTTTTAAGATCTATATATATATATTTGCTAGCATTTAAGAAATAGAGCAATAGCCACTGTAACCATATGATTTATAAGCTTCTTTAATAAACCTGTAACTGTTTAAGCTTTAACTTGACTCCTTCAGTTGCTGTAATAGAACCAAGCACAATTTAAAAGAACTTCAGCCGTTGTAACCATTTTTTTAAGATCTATATTTGCTAGCAGTTAAGAAATAGAGCAATAGCCATTGTAACCATATGATTTATAAGCTTCTTTAATAAACCTGTAACTGTTTAAGTTGTAACCTGACTCCTTCAGTTGCTGTTACAGAACCAAGCACAATTTAAAAGAACTTCATCCTGTCATAAGGGACAGGTATAGAAAGAGCTTGGGCTTTTTGGATCGTGTCACTCCCAGGTGACAGATCCATTGGGGCATCTCTCAGTCTTCCCTAGACTGCCCGCTGCGAAGGGATCCTGTATCCTAGCAGCTGAAATCTGAGATGTA